AATCGACTTCAGCACAACCAGCCTGTTGGATTTTTTTTTGTACATAAATACTGCCGGTAGCTATAGCTGCTAGCAGTGATCATTGTGTTCTGCCGACAGGGAAGGCTTCCCACTGGCAAAACACAATAACTCTGCGGGAGGCATTCCCCCATCAACACAGTAAGTGTTGATGGGGAAAGTGAGCGATTCATTTTACCTGTCACCTGTGGTGGAAGGAAAAGAAAATTGTATAATATATGACCTGCACCCAAAAGGGGAAGTTCCTTTTAAGTCTTTGTCCCCCGCTCCCCATTAAAGATTGGCACCTTTGGGGAGCGGGATTGGGGAGTGGGTACCCGAAATTGACAGGTACTAAGTGGCGATCGGAAGCAGAAGCTGTCCCCCCCCCCCCCCGTAGTCTTCTGGGACATGTGACAATGGGGCCATTCACAAAACGCAGTGCTTCTCACGCATGCGCAGCGGGCATGTGAAGCCGAAAGTTGTCACAGCCGGGTGCCCACACTGAAGACGCCGGCACCATAGAGAGAAGACGGCCGGTGCAACCAGCTGTGGTGAGGACACCGCTGGACCAAGGGGACAGGTAAGTGACTGTATTTTAAAAGTCAGCAGCTAGTTTTTGTAGCTGACGATTTTTTTTTTCAGCTGGAACTCCGCTTTAATGCAGGGCATACATGGGTCCAATTCCGAACTAATTTTCTTTCGAAAATCAGAAAATTTTTGTGCGTTTTGTAATCCAATGGCGCCAGCGTTGATTTTGAAATTCGACCAAACCAAGCCTCTAATTTCACCTCGTGTTGCTACAGAAAAGAATTTTCATGGTCAAGAATATTTTTTTTCTTTCCAGGTCACAGCTCACGCTTATTTCTTTTTCAATTACATTTCTCACACGATTCTCCCATCATTGATTAGAAATTCATTCATTTTTCAAAATATTTCTAAACATGTCTGATCACTAAAATTCGATGATTGCTCAAAAATCGTCCATTGCGGTGGCCCACTAATGGTGCGAAATTTAAACCAAAATTCTTAGAAAACATTTTCGGAAGAAAATTCTTTCAGAATTTGACCTGTGTATGGCCGGCTTAACTCTCAAGAAGTTTTTTTAGCCTTCCCAGTTCACCTCTATAAACTACAAAACACCCCCCTCCTACATTATGGAGATGAGTTTAGGAGATGAGGCCGGTAATAATGTTATTCCTCCATATACACTCACTGGCCGCTTCATTAGGTACACCTTGACATGCCAAGAAAATCTCCCCCATACCATGACACCACCACCACCACCACCAGCCTGAACCATTGATACCAGGCAGGAAGGATCCACCCACACCATGACACCACCACCACCAGCCTGAACCATTGATACAAGGCAGGATGGATCCACCACACCATGACACCACCACCACCAGCCTGAACCATTGATACAAGGCAGGATGGATCCACCACACCATGACACCACCACCAGCCTGAATCATTGATACAAGCCAAGATGGATCCACCACACTATGACACCACCACCACCACCACCAACCTGAGCCATTGATAAAAGGCAGGATGGATCCACCACACCATGACACCACCAGCCTGAACCATTGATACCAGGCAGGATGGATCCACCACACCATGACACCACCACCACCAGCCTGAACCATTGATACAAGGCAGGATGGATCCACCACACCATGACACCACCACCAGCCTGAATCATTGATACAAGCCAAGATGGATCCACCACACTATGACACCACCACCACCACCACCAACCTGAGCCATTGATAAAAGGCAGGATGGATCCACCACACACCATGACACCACCAGCCTGAACCATGATACCAGGCAGGATGGATCCACCACACCATGACACCACCACCACCAGCCTGAACCATTGATACAAGGCAGGATGGATCCACCACACCATGACACCACCAGCCTGAACCGTAGATACAAGGGAGGATGGATCCACCACCCACCATGACACCACCAGCCTGAACCATTGATACCAGGGCAGGATGGATCCACCCCACCATGACACCACCACCACCAACCTGAATCGTTGATACAAGGCAGGATGGATCCACCCCACGACACCACCACCACCACCAGCCAGAACCGTTGATGCAAGGCAGGATGGATCCACCCCACCATGACACCACCACCACCAGCCTGAACCGTTTTGAATACAAGGCAGGATGGATCCACCACACCATGACACCACCACCACCAGTCTGAACCATTGATACAAGGCAGGATGGATCCATGCTTTCATGTTGTTTACGCCAAATTCTGACCCTGCCATCTGAATGTCGCAGCTGAAATCGAGACCAGGCAACGTTTTTCCAATCTTCTACTGTCCAAGTTTGGTGAGCCTGTGCCAGTTGTAGCCTCCGTTTCCTGTTCTTAGCTGACAGGAGTGGCACCCAGTGTGGTCTTCTGCTGCTGTAGCCCATCTGCTTCAAGGTTCAACATGTCCCGTTCAGCAATGGTATTCTGCATATCTTGGTTGCAACGAGTGGTTATTTGAGTTACTGTTGCCTTTCTGTCATCTGGAACCAGTCTGCCCATTTTCCTCTGACATAAACAAGGCATGTTCCTTCACACAACTGCGGCTCACTGGATATTTTCTGTTTTTCAGACCATTCTCTGTAAACCCTAGAGATGGTTGTGTGTGAAAATCCCAGTAGATCAGCAGTTTTTTAAATACTCAGACCAGCCCGTCTCCCAAAAACAACTATGCCATGTTCAAAGTCAGTTAAATCCCCTTTCTTCCCCATTCTGATGCTCGGTTTGAACAACAAGTCATCTTCACCATGTCTACATGCCTAAATGCATTGAGTTGTTGACATTTGATTGGCTGATTAGCAATTTGTGTTACCAAGCAATTGAACAGGTGGACCTAATAAAGAGGCTGGTGAGTGTATACAGTATATAGTGAGTAGGCCCGGGTTCACACTGATGCAGTGCAGAAATCGCATTGTTTTCTGTGCGAATTCCGCACCGCATCACAATCGAACCCCGTTCATGCAAACCACTGCGGGTGTGCATGTTAACAACAACCCGAAAGCGGTCCGGAAAACGCGGTGCGATGTGCAGAATCGAATCGTATAGGTGTGAATACCCATGTGATCAGATTCTAGTGCAGACCCCGAAAAAAGGGTCTTGCACCTTTTTGGTACGGGTGTGGTGCAATTAAAGCCATACAAAATGTACGGCTCCGATCGCACCGCACACAAATCGCATGTCATTTGTACAGGAATGCAGTGCGGTTCCTGTGCGAATCACGTGCGATATACCTTATTTATATAACATTTATAGGTAAAGTTGATCCAGGGAATATCCGATTGCCTCTCGGGGGATCAGAAAGGAATTTTTTTCCCTGCAGGAGCAAATTGGATCATGTTTTGCTGGTTTTTTTTTTGCCTTCCTCTGGATCAACTGTGGGTGTTAAATTATAAATTTTTTTATTTTTTTTTAATGGTTGAACTGGATGGACTTTTGTTTTTTTTTTCAGCCAGACTAACTATGTAACTATATACCGCACCGCATATATGTGAACCAGGGCTCAGTGTGAGGTAGCTTGTTACCGGCAGGGATAATGCAGTAAAATAAAGGGGGTCCAAGTACTTCACAAGACAAACTGAACTTCGTTTAAATTGCATACCTGTTGGTCACAGCTTCCCAAAGCCTGGCCAAAAAACAAAAGTAGGATTCTCAATGATCAACATGCATAATTAGGCCCCTTGCACAATGGGCCGTTTAGGTGCAGCTACCAGCCAGGGGCGGACTGACCATTTGGAAACTCGGGCACTGCCCGAGGGCCTGGGGTCAGTAAGGGCCCCCATGAGATGCCCCTGGTACCTTTTTCCATATGCTTTTTTGAGTTTGGGCAAGGACACAGGGGCCCCATGATCACCTATTGCCCAGGGGCCCCATGAGTTGTCAGTCCGCCCCTGTTACCAACCCTGCTGCAGGCAGCCTGTCAAATTCTATGACAGGCTATGGCTGGACAGGGCAGAAAAGTGTATCAAGTGCTACTGGTGTTTAGGGCCCTGTATATTCAGGGATGAGGTTTCATGACGCAGACGTCTGGACACTGCGAGTGCGATAAAACGCTGGGAGGGACCTCTGCAGTGGAACAACCCAGTGTGCATGGACCTACAGGAAAGATATACACAACCAATGAGTTCATTCCGAAGAGTCACAATGTTTAATAGTCACTCAGTCATCTCTGGGATTCCTTGATCAAACGATTCTGGTTCGATTTCTGCGCAACTGACAACCATCTGCATTGCTTAGCTCTTATATTGGCTAATTATTGGAAAATATTATTATTATACAGGATTTATGGCGCCAACAGTTTGCTCAGCGCTTTACAATATAACGGGAGATAATACAGCAACAATACAGTTCCATACAAGAGGGTGAGGAGGCCCTGATCCTGGGAGCTTACAATCTAGGAGGGAGGGAAATGAGAATGATAAATGATGTGGCCAAGTCATTGGCTAAGGAACCTATTTTCCACAGTAACTAAATACATAGTTTTTTTTGCAAAAATCCTGATTCGTTTCTACAAGCACCAGTTCCAACCGCACCAGTTTTTTCGCAAACCCCATTTTCAGTCTGCTGTGTACTGCCACCATGTGCACCTCATCTGTACTATTACCTGAAATCTCTCATACAGAAAGGACTTTGATCAGGCCGACAGAGCTAAAATCACACATTTATTTAGAATGTAACATTTGTTTGTGATCGTCAATTTTGTTTCTTGATTCCCATCCAAAGACAATAGTGCAATCTGCATGGGTTGAGCCCCATATTGATTAGTATTTTGTAAAAACTGTAAGAGGAACAAAAAACACACTTTTTTTTTTTAGAAGAAATGTGGCACCTGTAGTGTAATCAATCAAATCTTTGGTTATCAGTGTAATGATCCTGATATGACGAAGCATTAGGAATGTCCACTGGTTCAAAAATGTCTTCTCCCTTTGCTGTAGAGCTCAGGCTCAGGACAGAACACTCTGTATGCAGTTATACAACCACTCCTGTCTCTCGTTCAGGGCCATGACATGCTGAGACACCTGTAAAAAGAAAGGCTGATGTTAGTTCCCTGCTTCATGTCAGCATTATATAACTCATTTCTGGACATGCAGAATATCTGGCTAGTGTGAATATTTAACCACTTCAAGTCCGGACACTTTATTATTTATTTTATTTATTTCAGGTACTTATATTGCGCCATCAATTTACACAGCGCTTTACATATATATTGTACATTCACATCAGTCCCTAACCCTCAAGGGGCGTACAATCTAAGGTCCCTAACTCACCCTAACTTTCACCCCCTTCCAGTCCAGGCCAATTTTCAGCTTTCAGTGCTATCACACTTTGAATGACAATTTGCGCGGTCATGCAACACTGTACCTTAATAGATAAATTGCAGCGCTAAATAAAAAATGACATACCATACTCGAGTATAAGCCGACCCGAATATAAGCCGAGGTACCTAATTTTACCACAAAAAACTGGGAAAAACTATTGACTCGAGTATAAGCCGAGGGTGGGAATCATTGGTATCAGTGGGAGGAATAGTGCCCCATCATTGGTGTCAGTGGGAGGAACAGTGCCCCATCATTGGTGTCAGTGGAGGGAATAGTGCCCCATCATTGGTGTCAGTGGGAGGAATAGTGCCCCATCATTGGTGTCAGTGGGGGGAATAGAGCCCCATCATTGGTATCAGTGGGAGGAATAGTGCCCCATCATTGGTGTCAGTGGGAGGAACAGTGCCCCCATCATTAGAGTGTCAGTGGGAGGAGGAATATAGTGCCCCCCCATCATTGGTGTCAGTGGGAGGAATAGTGCCCCAGCGTTGGTGTCAGTGGGAGGAATAGTGCCCCATCATTGGTATCACTGGGAGGAATAGTGCCCCAGCGTTGGTGTCAGCGTGGGAGGAATAGTGCCCCATCATTGGTATCAGTGGGAGGAATAGTGCCCCATCATTGGTATTAGTGAGAGGAATAGTGCCCCATCACTGGTATCACTGGGAGGAATAGTGCCCCATCGTTGGTGTCAGTGGGAGGAATAGTGCCCCATCATTGGTATTAGTGAGAGGAATAGTGCCCCATCATTGGTGTCAGTGGGAGGAATAGTGCCCCATCATTGGTATCAGTGGAAGGAATAGTGCCCCATCATTGGTATCAGTGGGAGGAATAGTGCCCCATCATTGGTATTAGTGAGAGGAATAGTGCCCCATCATTGGTGTCAGTGGGAGGAATAGTGCCCCATCATTAGTATCAGTGACACCAATGATGCGGCACTATTCCTCCCACTGACACCAATGACACTTGCTGACCCCTGTTGCAGTATGGTGCTGCTGCAGCCAGCATATGTGGTTGCAGCAGCACCTCTGCACTGCACACTTACCTGTCAGCTGTCCTTCTTCACTCCGGCCTCTCCCTCACTCGATTTTCGCGGGTCCGCTCGGCTCCGCCTCCTCGCCCGTGATTCGGCCGCCCGTGTACCTTTCCTGAGCTACAGTTCTGGAGGCCAATCACCGGTGAGGAGGCGAAGCCGAGCGGCAGGAGTGAGGGAGTGGCCGGAGTGACGGAAGGAGCAGCGCTTCCTGGATGGATCATCGTGAGAGCCAGGTAAGAGACAGCAGCCCTCTGCCCACCCCTGTACGCGCCCCCCTTGACGGAGCCTCGCGCCCCCCCTGCAGACGTTGACTCGAGTATAAGCCGAGGGGGCCGTTTTTCAGCACAAAAAATGTGCTGAAAAAAACTCAGCTTATACTCGAGTATATACGGTAGATAAATGGATAAATGAAAGTCTTTAAAATGTGCAACGTGACAATGGTGGTTCTTTAGGTGGCTGTTAAATTATCGTGACTTCCGTGGTTCGTAAGAAGTGAGTGTACAATGTACTAACCAGATAGCACAAGGTTTTTGTGCGTTGGAGTAAATAAGACCTACTCCAAGGTACTCTGGGAACCGGAATTCTGCAAAACAGGTGAAGTCGTCAGGTGGGGTTGAGTCACCAGATGTCATCAGGCCAGCGCAGATTTCCTCATTCCAGTATAGTGTACCTATACACTGTACCTATATGAATATTTTAGCATTTTTTTGAGATAGATAAAGCTTTATTTTGGTGGTATTTATTCACTCGCTGGGATTTTTATTTTTTTTGCTATATAAATGAAAAACTCCCAAAATTTTGAAAAAAAGTGTTTTTTTCTTATAAAATTTTGCAAATAAATAATATTTCATCATAAATCTTCGCCAAAATGTATTCAGTTATCTTTCTAGTAAAAAAAAAAAAAATAACCCAAATTATTTTATAACCAAAAATAATTTTTAAAAACTTTTTTTGCCATTTTTATTTTTTTTTTTATATTTTTTATATTATTATTATACAGTATTTATAAAGCGCCAACAGTTCGCTCAGCGCTGTACATTAATTTATGTTTTTTTTTTACATTACTGTCACCCTAGCAGTACAGTGTCACCATGGTGACGCTGTACTACTTGTGGGGGGTGATGAAGACTTTTTTTTTTTTTTTTTTTACACTGATTGTTTTTACACCCATAAAGGCTGTAAAAGCAATCATTTCTCCTTCTCTCCGGCTGCATTCCTGCAGCCATTGAGAAATACTGTGAGAGCTGTGATTGGTCACAGCTTGTCACATGGTACAAGGCAGTTGTGAATAGCCTTGTACCATGTGACCTCTGTGATCATTCACAGATTTCACACGTAGTAAGCAATGTCATGTCAGAAGTGACATCTTGCTTACTACTCTGCATGTGATCACTGATTGGGCAATTAGTGATCACATGATTGGGACCTCGCACAAAGGTCCCGTACGACGATCGGAGGACACAGCGGGCACCGGATCGCGGTGCTGTGCGCTCACAGGGAACGTGCACACAAGCAGGGGGTCTAGGAGGTCATTTATAAACGGCCACCTGACCCTGCACTGCCACCATCCGGCCGTTGATATACAACGGCCAGACAGGAAGTGGTTAAGAACATGAGGTCATGATGATGTCATATATATCTCTTCTATTGTATTACTGGTTTATTGCATTCTCTGTGTTTGTGCCATGATAAAGAGTGCTTGAGAGAAAGTCACTGAGACTGCAGAGTGTATGGTATACCAGTACAATCAGATTAGGGTACAAGCCACTGAAAAACCCTCTGTTTTTAAAGTGAATTGTTAGACAGGGTCAATTTGGTTGTTTTGCAGCCTAGCTGCTAAGTGTGCTGGGAAATCTTTGTTTGTGGTGTGCATTGCCCTTCCATGTGCACCTTACTGCGATAGTTGGGGTGGTTGTCACTTTTTTTGTACAGTTGGTTGAATTGGATGCACTGGATGCCTTCAGCTGCCATTGTGCTTTTACTGAGCATCCCGTGGGGCCCTGTGTCTTTAAGGAGGAGTGGGCTCCCTCCAGGCAAGCCTGCCTTTAACCTATTCGCTGCTCTATGTACTCCAACCTGGGAGACTCTGAAAAATTATAGAGTTAGGACCAGAGGCGTCCCTAGGATTGGTGTCCCCTGGTGCAGAAACACGTGGTGTCACCCCTCCAGAGAGGAAGGAGCGGTGTCGGTGTAGCAGTAAAATGAGTATCTTGACCCGGGAAGATACGTATCCTCTGAAGTGACTGTGCATGTGCCGGTTTCAGGTCGAAGAAGCCGATTTCCGATTTCACCACAGAGCTGCCACAGTGAACCCCTATAGGCTGCAAACCGCTGAAGATGATCCCGCAGATCACTATGGGTTGCAAGATCAGTTAACCTTGTATAGGTTGAACATATATGGGGTTAACTGATCTTGCAACCCATAGTGATCCACGGGATCAGCTTCAGCGGTTTGCAGCCTGTAAGGGGTTAATTGTAACAGCTCTGTGCTAAAGTCGGAGATCAGCAATCGGCTTCTTCGGCCTGAAACCAGCACATGCGCAGTCGCTTCAAGGGATACATATCTTCACGGGTCTGGGATACTCATTTTACAGCTACAGCAGGGGCAGCTGTCACTGTTCCGGGATCCAGGATCACCCCAATAACTGGCCAGGACCTTCACAGAGCCCAGAAGCTCTGCTGGCATCCTGCTCCTGCACCCCCTGTGATGGTGTCACCCGGTGCGGCCCGCACCCCCTAGGGACGCCACTGGTTAGGACCGCAGTACACAGTGGAGCCTTGACGCAAGTACTGTGGCTTACGCATATATTTGCAAATGCTTGAAAGCAAAACCCTCTGTTTTTAAAGTGAATTGTTAGACAGGGAAAATGTGGTTGTTTTGCAGGCTAGCTGGTAAGTGTGCTGGGAAATCTTTATTTGTGTACTGCATTGCTCTTCCATGTGCACTTTACTGCAAAGACTAGCTAGAGGTTGGTGTGGTTGCCATCTTTTTTGTACAGTTGATTAAAACACTTGTGGCTGCACTTAAGGATCAATTTATAGAGCAACGGTATGTATGGCCTTACCCTTGCTTAAAAAACAAACTGCACTTTTATAAAACTTTGCAATGTGAGTTCTGAAGTGTCAGGGCAGGGCTGTGGAACGGACAGGTAGGCCTAGTGGCAGGGTAACGCACTGACTGACGACAACCACCACCAACAGACCGAAGTCCCTCAGGGCGCGGAGTCTAAGTCCCAGGCTGCCCTTCACCAGGGCCCCTAATGGTGGGGATGGACTTGACGCAGCCAGGAACCAGGTCGTGGCCCCCGAGACACCCCGGCTGCGGTAATGGTCGCTGCCAATGGCGTGTAGCTGGTAGGAATGACAATAGCGTAGTCAGGCAGGCCGGGTCGACAACAACGGGACAAAACGGTACAGAACAGTAGACAAGAATCACAGGTCACGGGCCGGGTTCAGCAACGGAAGGTCAGATCAAAGGAAAACACAGAGAATGGTCTAGTCACAAGCCGAGTCAGATACCAAAAGAGTCACGAGAGTATACACAGAGCTGTAGCAACACAAGATACAAGTGCAAAGAGCATGTGCGGATCACAGGCTTATATGTACTCAGCCACACCCCTCTGGGGGATGGACCTCAGAGACCTGAAAGCATAAAAGGCTCCCACCATACTCTGCAGAAACCCAAGATAGATGCCAGTACATGAAGCCGCACAGTCTCTGGGAAAAGGTAGGACCTTGACATGAAGCCAATGAAATACTACTTTTCTGAGCGGAGTTAGCAGACCCAGTATCAAAAGCACGAACAGAAACACAGAGGTGGGACCAATGTCCCCTAATGGAATACAAGCAAAAGATTTTATGGTGCATACAAAAATCCTATTTTCATTCTCATCCATTAATGGATATCCAAATGCCGTCCAACTGAGGTGTGGGCAACACAGCAAACAATCTTTAACAGGCCCAACATAACAGCAGGAAGCATGGGATTGCCTGCAGCTGAAAGAGCTGCCTAAAAGGGAAAGAGACGCCTGAAGCTGGCATGAGATGAAGCAAAAATGTTCACTTGGCAGAACTTAGAGAATGTATGAACTGAAAACTGGGTGGCAGCCTTACCACTCTGGGAAACAGTTGCTTGATGCTGCAAAGCAGAAGAGGCACTCAAAGACCTAGGTGTCCTCTTATCAAGCAGTGTTAAATGACCGCTGCTCAGTTCTCTGGCATTCTCGGAGAACACAGTTCTCCTGTGAATGCCTTTTATGAAGCGGTGTAGATCAGTTCTCTGAACGAAGGGAGAACGATCTACAAACGCTGGAAAATGGCTGCTTTTACTATAAGCTCGGGAGATTACAGTAAGAGATCAGTCAAACACCGTTTACTAAGCAAATTATCGCTGCTTCGTTTGCGGTTCCCCCGATTTTCCAGCTTGGGCTGGAGAATCTGCAGGGAGAACACAGATCGCCAGTGAAGGGCTGACATCGCTCCTTCATATACTGGCCATCTGTGTGCTGAGATGATCAGCGGAGAACATGTTTTCCGCTGATCATCTCTGTTTCCTAAACCACAAATGATCGGAGATCAGCAACGATCCTCAGGATCGCCGCTGATCTCTGTTTCATAAAATGGCACCTTAGTGTAGTGAAGCTTAACAGGAAAGGGGAAACCTTTCTTGAACAATGGTCTGTCTGTGCCACCTAGAAATGGAGGAATGAGAAGCTGGGATGCCCTCCTAGGGCTCATCTGGAATAACAAAAAGAGAAACAGTCCTGAAAAAAACAGTAAGAGACTATCACAGTCAGAACCAGAGCCAGACAAGGGGGGAAGTAGATCAATGTCCCGGTTAAGGTGAAAAAATTTACCATACCTTCTTCCTTAGGCAAGAATGAAGTCCTGAGACTCAGCACCACCTTGTCATTTTGTAAAACGAAAAAAAGGTTCTCTGAAAGATCAAGCCTCCAGTTGAGACACTTACCTCAAAGGGGTTAAAGCTACAAGAAAAGCAACCTTGTGCGTGATAGTAGAGAAGGGACTGTCCCTTGTGGAAAGTGAAGAGACTTGACATTGAGAGCTAAATATTGGTCAAGACCCAACTGCAGGAAGGAGAGATTCCATCCACACAAAAGCTGCTGGGGCGGACGCCCTTGGAATCACACAAAGTGAAGTTTGCCTTCCATGTCCGGTGATAAGACCTTGTGGTTAGTGGACATTTTAGCCTTGAACATTGTAGGAGTCAGACTCAGAGATGCCCTTGTCACTTTGAACTTGTGCTTTAACAGCTTCGCCATTAAAGCCAGCGACCGCAAAGCAGAAAGACAAATCAGCTCTAGGGACAGTATATCTGGGAGTTCTGGCAGGGCCCATGGTGCATCCGCTAGAAGTATTACCAAGTCAGTGTACCACATCCGCTTTGGCCAATCCGGAGCAATGAGGATCAACGGAATGCCCTCTATCTCAATTCTAAGGAGAATACAAACAAAAAGTTTCAGAGTAGTTATTATTGAACCTGGAGGCAAAGAGGTCCTGTGACACAGATCCTGGAACATCTCCAGATGTAAAGACAACTTTCCTGAGTCCATGTGCTCCTGGCACAGGAAAACTGCCTGACAATTGTCTATGAGCGGTATGTGCATGGCTGAAAAGGCTGCAATACAAAAGTCTATATAAAACAAGATCCTCTCACCTCTAGCCGTGGTGACACGTCTGATTCCTCTCTTATAATTGATGTATGTCACTGCCATGGTGTTGTCAGACTGAAACCAGGTTGGATGGCTCTCCAACAGGTTGGTCTAATGATGAAGAGACAGCCAAATTCCCTGAAGCTCCAAGATGCTTACTTGGAGACGAAGTTGCACCGACAGCCAAGTCCCCCACACTGACAGGGTGACCAGGACTTCCACCCAGAGCAATAACCATTGTGAGTATCTTCCAGATAATTGGAAGATAGGACTCCAGAGCCACCAAGCCAGGAATAGTGTGGTCCTTGCTGTCAACCAAATCAGCCTGTTCAAAGAGAGGACTAATTTGTCCCACGATAACAGAAGATTGTTTAGCAGATGTCTGAATTGAAATTGGGGAAAAGGGAATTTTCTCAAACAAAGCAAAAAGTTGGATTGGATAATTTGAATCTGAGACCAGAAAGTCTTTGCCCAAGGAAGCAACACTCTGGTCTCAGAGGTGTCCAGGACTAGACCCAGATGCTCCTGGTGATGAGTTAGTTCCAGGGACAGTTTGTAAAGTTTCAAAAATTGCTCAAACCTGTCATGTCCAGACAGTCAGAGATACACGGTCTAACAAAACTCTTGCCAACTATTCCTTTAACAGTAGGTTGTCCAAGTATTCCAAAATGTGGAAACACCTCAGACACAACAGGAACAACTCCTTAATAAACACCCAAAATATACAAGACAGGTCAAAAGGCAGAGCCTTGAACTTGCAATGTAGTGGCCCTAAAGAAAATGGCAGACAGTGCTGGTGCATTGGAAAGATAGGCATATGGAATTAAGCCTCTGTTATGTCCACATAGGCCAGAAGGAAGGCAATGAGAGATCTGGTTGTTTCCAAAGTTTTGCACTCAAATGTAAGCATTCAAGTCTTTGTAGTCTAAGATGGCTCAGAATGCCCCCATGGGTTTAAAAACAGTGAACAAGTTGGAGTTGAAATTGCTAATTCCAAAACTGACTGTTAAAAGCAAACAAAACTGTGAAGTACATTCGAACAACATTTGTCGAGTCTTCGAATTCACTGAAAATTTTCCTATGCATATTTGTGAAACTGTTCCCAAAATATGCTATTGAATGGCCAGCTTTATTTACTGTGGTTGATGGCATGATGAGCTATACTGCTTACAACTGGAGACATTAGGGTTCATTTACTAAAGGCAAATAGACTATGCACTTTGTATAGTGCAGTTGCGCTCTGCAAGTGTCGTTTCTCCAGAGCTTAGTAAATGAGGTAAAGCTTCACTTTGCAAAGAATACCCAAAAGCACACAAGAAAAATAAAAAAAAAAACAGCATTTTTGATTGCACATGATTGGATGATAGAAGTCAGCAAAGCTTCTGCCCATTTACTGAGCTCTGATGCAGCTGCTCTTGCAGAGTGTACAGTCTATTTGTTTTCAGTAAATCACTCCCATAATCTTTCAATTGCAGAGAGATTTAACAAGAGATTGGATTGATCTAGAGCAGGGGTGTCAAACTGGTGGCCCTCCAGCTGATGTTATTATTATTATACAGTATTTATAAAGCGCCGATAGTTCGCTCAGCGCTGTACATTACAAAGGGGGACAGAACATGTGACAGAACAATACCAATACAATGCAAAACATGAGGGGATCGAGGGCCCTGCTCTTTCGAGCTTACAATCTAGGAGGGAGGGGATGGTGGTGCAGGAGGAGATAGCTGTGGGGGATGGAGTGGTAGGAAGAGTGGAGGAGGTCGGTCAAGTTAGCAGGGGGTAGGCTTCCCTGAAGAGATGGGTTTTCAGGGTGCGCCTAAAGGAGAGGAGAGTAGGTGATAATCTGATGGGTTAGGGAAAGGAGTTCCAGAGGATGGGTGACACCCTGGAGAAGTCCTGGAGGCGGGCATGGGAGGAGGAGACCAGGGAACTAGAGAGAAGGAGGTCTTGTGAGGAGCGGAGTGTGCGTGTTGGGCGGTACTTGGATATTAGGTCAGTGATGTCGTTTGGGGCAGTATGGTGGACAGCTTTGTACGTCAGTGTTAGGATTTTGAATTTGATCCGTTGCGCAATCGGAAGCCAGTGGAGGGATTGGATTGGCAGATGGGGGTGGCGGAAACGGAGCGGTTGGAAAGGTGAATGAGTCTGGCAGCTGTATTCAGGATGGACTGAAGCGGGGATAGCCAGCGGCGAGGCAGGCCAGTGAGGAGGGAGTTGCAGTAGTCGAGTCGTGATATGATGAGGGAGTGGATGAGCTGTTTAGTGGTTTCTGGGGTTAGGAACGTGCGGATTTTGGCGATGTTGCGGAGGTGGAGTCTGCACGAGTTTGTTAAAGATTGGACTTGGGGCTGGAAGGACAGACTAGGATGACACCAAGTGAAATGATGTGAAACTAGAAATCCCATCATGCCCCTGCCTTTGGGAGTCATGCTTGTAACTGTCAATCTGTCAAACATGCAATGCCTCATGGGACTTGTAGTTTGGCAACAGCTGTAGGGCCACCAGTTTGACACCCGTGATCTAGAGGTACACTTGAATACACCTATCAGTGTGTATGATCATAGAGATGCATTATCAGAAGGTGACATTTACCACGGTTGATTTTGCAGGCACTTCCACAGCGAACACACTGAGTCCTCGGCTGCTGACGCAGTTCTTGCTCTGGTCATTGTTCACCTGCATCATGATCTTCTTATCTGCCTGCCAGCAGGACAGGGGATAGATAGGTGTTAGTACAGAGCAAAGTGGGACTGGCTCTACCAGAAAAACAAGTCGTTAAAGTATCAATTAACTATTTAAAAGCTCAACTTACCAACCAGCTTGCGAACAAACCAAATTGTCCTGTCTAACAGTTTGCGTTAAAAACAGGGGTGTAGTTAGCACCTTTGCAAATGGTTTGGTTTGTTCGCAAGCTGGTTGGTGAGTTGAGCTGGAAATTTTTCTTTTTTATTGTTTGACATGCGTTGCCCTTCCATGTGCTCCTTGCTGTGGGGCAGTGGCCATTTTTTGTACTGTTGATTTGCTGGTGAGGGGTTGCACTGGACACCCTGGCTGCCAATGTGCTATATGCTGGGTGTCCAGTACGCCTAGGTACCTTTAAGGAGGGGTGGGCTCCCTCAGCCTCACCCTGCCCTCAGACTAGCCATCTATACAATTGCTTCTACTATGGAGGCTTTCAAAATTTAAAGAGTTAGGAACTGCAGTATATTGGAGTGCTGTGAAGGGGCTCTTCAGCCATGTATCTGCAAATGTGTGCTAACTAAACCCGTTTTTAATGCAAACTGTTAGACAGGACAATTCGGTTTGTTCGTAAGTTGGTTGGCAGGTTGAGCTGGGAATTTTTCTTTTTTATTGTTTGACATGCGTTGCCCTTCCATGTGCTCCTTTCTGTGAAAGCCAGTTATAGGGTGGGGCAGTGGCCATTTTTTGAACTTTTTAAAAGGCCACTAAGTTTAACAAATGTAAACACATGTCATACCTTAAGTCCTCATGCACACGGGACGTTCTTACAGTGTCTGTTTTTGGCTTTTGACGTTTTTTTCTACAGCCAGTAAACCCCCAGCATGTTATCCTATGTGTCCATCCCCGGCATGTTATCCTATGTGTCCATCCCCGGCGTGTTATCCTATGTGTCCATCCCCGGCGTGTTATCCTATGTGTCCATCCCCGGCGTGTTATCCTGTGTGTCCATCCCTGGCGTGTTATCCTGTGTGTCCATCCCCGGCGTGTTATCCTACGTGTCCATCCCCGGCATGTTATCCTACGTGTCCATCCCCAGCATGTTATCCTACGTGTCCATCCCCGGCATGTTATCCTATGTGTCCATCCCCGGCATGTTATCCTATGTGTCCATCCCCGGCATGTTATCCTGTGTGTCCATCCCCGGCATGTTATCCTATGTGTCCATCCCCGGCATGTTATCCTATGTGTCCATCGCCGGCATGTTATCCTACGTGTCCATCCCCGGCGTGTTATCCTGTGTGTCCATCCCCGGCGTGTTATCCTATGTGTCCATCCCCGGCGTGTTATCCTACGTGTCCATCCCCGGCGTGTTATCCTATGTGTCCATCCCCGGCGTGTTATCCTACGTGTCCTCCCCGGCGTGTTATCCTATGTGTCCATCCCCGGCATGTTATCCTGTGTGTCCATCCCCGGCATGTTATCCTACGTGTCCATCCCCGGCATGTTATCCTACGTGACCATCCCCGGCATGTTATCCTATGTGTCCATCCCCGGCATGTTATCCTATGTGTCCATCCCTGGCATGTTATCCTATGTGTCCATCCCCAGCATGTTATCCTGTGTGTCCATCCCCGGCATGTTATCCTATGTGTCCATCACCGGCATGTTATCCTATGTGTCCATCGCCGGCATGTTATCCTACGTGTCCATCCCCGGCATGTTATCCTGTGTGTCCATCCCCGGCATGTTATCCTGTGTGTCCATCCCCGGCGTGTTATCCTATGTGTCCATCCCCGGCATGTTATCCTGTGTGTCCATCCCCGGCGTGTTATCCTACGTGTCCATCCCCGGCATGTTATCCTACGTGTCCATCCCCGGCATGTTATCCTATGTGTCCATCCCCGGCATGTTATCCTATGTGTCCATCCCCGGCATGTTATCCTGTGTGTCCATCCCCGGCATGTTATCCTATGTGTCCATCCCCGGCATGTTATCCTATGTGTCCATCGCCGGCATGTTATCCTATGTGTCCATCCCGGGAAATGTTATCCTGTGTGTCCATCCCCGGCATGTTATCCTACGTGTCCATCCCCGGCATGTTATCCTATGTGTCCATCCCCGGCATGTTATCCTATGTGTCCATCCCCAGCATGTTATCCTATGTGTCCATCCCCGGCATGTTATCCTACGTGTCCATCCCCAGCATGTTATCCTACGTGTCCATCCCCAGCATGTTATCCTACGTGTCCATCCCCAGCATGTTATCCTACGTGTCCATCCCCAGCATGTTATCCTATGTGTCCATCCCCAGCATGTTATCCTATGTGTCCATCCCCAGCATGTTATCCTACGTGTCCATCCCCGGCATGTTATCCTATGTGTCCATCCCCCAGCATGTTATCCTATGTGTCCATCCCCAGCATGTTATCTTACGTGTCCATCCCCGGCATGTTATCCTATGTGTCCATCCCCGGCATGTTACCTATGTGTCCATCCTCGGCATGTTACCTATGTGTCCATCCCCGGCATGTTATCCTGTGTGTCCATGCACACATAGACTGTAATCAAAGTTTTTTGGCTGAAAAAAAAACCCCCAGAACTAGTGGGTTTCTAGAGGAGTTTTCTAGCTGTAAAAACGCTCTAACGCTGAAAAACACGTCCAAATGTAGTAAAACGCAGCAAACCAGCGGTTTTGGACTTTAATGCGTAAAGACTCCTCTTCAAGCGCGGTAGTTGTGGGGGGTTTTTCCAGGCTAAAAATGCCCCCTGCCAAAAACCGCTGATAAAAGCCTATGTGTGCATTAACACATAGGATAACATGCTGGGGGGTTTACTGGCTGTAGAAAAAAGCGCCTTATGCCCAAAACAACCGCTGTAAAATCGCCGAGTGTGCATCGGCCTAAGGAATTTACAGTAAGTAGTTGCTTTCCATTATTAAAGCTGATTTTCAGAAAAGGTACACATATATATATATATATATATATATATATATATAATTTCATTAGCCATTGCGCTAGCAGTTTACAAACCTTATTCTCAATAACAGAAGTAATTCTGGTGTCATTCTTGTATGTGTGGATAACAACGCTTTCATAACCTTCCATGGGCTTGGCCTCTCCTTTCAGAATTGCAGACTTACAAAGCACCTTCTGCAGCTGCCGATTGCTGGATGCCAGGCTCACAGCGCTCAGTCTGGGTTTGCACTTTTCTGCATAAATATCAACAATGAATGGACATGCCTGCAAAATAAAAATGAAACAAGATTGTATCCAAGATACAAAGTCTATAAAAGTAAAAGTGCAGCGTCACTCAAACAAACTGATGAGGCTGCACTGATGGGCACTGATGAGGCTGCACTGATGGGTACTGATGAAGTGGCACTGATGTGGTGGTACTGATAGGTGGCACTAATGAGAAGGCACTGACTGATGATCAGTGCTCTGATTATTACTGTAAATGTCCCCTGTCAGAACTGCCGACTACCGGCTCTCTTCTCCTCAAGCTGTGACAGCGTATGAAGAAAGGACTGCCGATAAACGGCAAGTCCGTTTACAATGTGATCATCTGTGAATGGACACAGCTGTCACATAGTAAAGCGCTGCTCTGGTTGGTCCTTTACCGCAATCTGTGATCAGCTGTGTCTGAAGGACACAGCAATCAGAGCGCGCCAGGGGGCGCTTGGGGGGCGTGGTTCTGAAAGGACGTCTATGGATGCCCTCCCATAACTAGCTGACCACACTGTAGCTGTCTTTTGGCTATAGTGCATTTCAGCAAGTGGTTAAAGTAATTCTAAAGCCAACACTAATTTTTAAATAAAGAAAATAATTTTCTATAAGTTTTTTTGTCCTCTCTGCCTCATTGGGAGACTTCCCTTAAAAGTGGAACTTTAGTCAGAAAATTGAGTCCTGCCGGATGACTTAAGGATGGCTCCTTTTGCAGGTCAAGCTTTGTAAAACATTAAAAATAAATGCCTATACTGTTTACAATCCAGTAATACACTGTCTCACCCTGCTCTGCACATGTTCAGTTGCTCTCTATTTCTAGGCACTGTGCCGAATTTTGCTGATCTGTTGACAGCCTAAAGGTTTACTGCTGCTCAGGAGATCTGAGCTTCAGCAAAATGGCCGCCTCCATCAAAAAGAAACAGGAACAATGCTGGAGGCAATTTACAGCGCACACTAATTTTGGTAGTATACTTATTTATGTGGAATGTATTTTTTTTGCTAAAGAACATTATTTTTTATCAAGTTGTTATGGGTAAAGTTCCACTTTAGCTCCTGGTTCAGTAGACCCCAAGGAATGGGATAAGAAAAGTCTCCAATGGAAGGGAAATGCCACTTTAGATAGTTGTCACTTTAACAAGGGTCCCCATTGGAAGATTATTGATATTCTTGGTGATAACTCAAGATGCTCTACCTACTTTTTTTTTAAATGTGGCTTTAAATGCACTCTAAGGGCTCATGTACACGGAGTGTTTTGGAAAACTCTTCTGAACAATGGAAACTGACTGCTGAAAAACGTAGGTTAAAAAATGTCAGTTTAGCCATGATTATGCGCGTTTGCGTTTAGAAGCGTTTTTAAAAGATAACCTCAGGAGACCTTCCCAAATGCCCAGAATGCACTGAAAAAAATAGTAAAAAAACTAACTATTTCAGACATTTTGAGAGGAATAGAGAAAGCAGAAGCAGAGAGAGCAGTATGTGTTGAGATGACCTGTCTTTTCTGGTTGTATTCAGTATGGATCCCATCATAATGCAGCGCAATTCTACCATTTTTTCCTTCACGAGAAACCTGGAACTGACTGCGCTGTGTGTGTACCTTGGGGTCCATTTGAATACTTGGAAAACGCTTTGCATGCATTTCTGATGATGAAAAAAGGCTCTGGACAGCATCTGGAACAGTTAACAACGCTTCTAAACATGGTTAACCGTGTTTGCCTTTTGCTTTTGAAACGCCGGTAAAATATACTCCTGAACACAAGTTTGGTGCGTTCAAAAAAAAACAACTGCAAATTCAACTGCCTGTAAACGACTGTAAAGGACGATGTGTACATGGACACATAGGGAAACATTAGGGAGATTTCAGGGGCTGCTGAAAAAAATGCAGAAAAGCTCCTGAACGTCAGTTTAGCAGCTGCAGTGTACATGAGCCCTTAGTTATTCTTATTATTATACAGGATTTTATATAGCACCAACAGTTTGCACAGCATTTTACAATATAAAGAGATGGTCCAATTACAATCCATTTCAATACAGAAGGAGCGGAAGGGCTCATGGAGCTTAAACCACAGACAGCATTCTACCTCTGTCAGTTCCAGGGCCTTGTTGTAACCCATGGACTGCAGCGTCACGCAGAGGTCACTTGGGTCGCCTTCTCGGTCATTTGCCTCCATAAGGTTTAGATCCAGAAAACCTTTCTTCGTAAGCTCATTTTTCTTTGTTTCAAAATTCTCTGTATAAAAATAAAAATTAAAAAAAACAATGAAACAGGGGTAAAGACCAACTATAACCTATAGCAGCCAAACAGCTTTTAATTTGCATTGTTTCTTCCCCCGTAACATCATTTTATTACATAAAAATGGGGGTGTGCAGCGCTATACAAATAAAACACACTGTCATAAGTATGACAAAATATGACAAAAAAGTCCTATAAACTGGATAATATACAGTCCAAGGTAATGTGATATCAGTCCAAAAAGGTATATTCCAGTGGTGGAGTGTAAATGACTTCAATCCAAATGGGTATATTCCAACATCATGACATGAAGGTGTAGAAAAATTGCCCACTCACCGGAAGTGCAATTTAATGTGCACATAGAAATTCCATGAAGCCGGAAGTCCCGTGAAGGTACAGCCTGATGGTGAAGGTGCCCTCTGGTGGTAAATGGGGTAACGGCTGCCAGAGATGATGACCTGGACCTATATCCCAACTTCTCCTGCCTGGGTGGACTCCTGGAATGCTGGGCTGAGATGTGAGGGCTCAGTGCCAGGTAATAGAGATGGAAATACTCATGGTGTAGTATTATGAAGTATATTTATTAAGTAAAGATCATCATGATAAAATAAAATAGAACACGTACAGGGTTAAAGTACCTATATAGATATAATGTGAAATGAGCTCTTTGAATACACTGACCAGTGGGTAAAAAGTGATGGCCACCGGACCTCCTGATCCGGTGGCGTAACGTCAAGGCGTGCAGAGGCTCCTCCTAGACGCGCTTCGTGTAATAACACGTCTCCTGTAGGGGTGATGCCATCACCCCTACAGGAGACGTGTTATTACACGAAGCGCGTCTAGGAGGAGCCTCTGCACGCCTTGACGTTACGCCACCGGATCAGGAGGTCCGGTGGCCATCACTTTTTACCCACTGGTCAGTGTATTCAAAGAGCTCATTTCACATTATATCTATATAGGTACTTTAACCCTGTACGTGTTCTATTTTTTTTATCATGATGATCTTTACTTAATAAATATACTTCATAATACTACACCATGAGTATTTCCATCTCTATTACCTGGCACTGAGCCCTCACATCTCAGCCCAGCATTCCAGGAGTCCACCCAGGCAGGAGAAGTTGGGATATAGGTCCAGGTCATCATCTCTGGCAGCCGTTACCCCATTTACCACCAGAGGGCACCTTCACCATCAGGCTGTACCTTCACGGGACTTCCGGCTTCATGGAATTTCTATGTGCACATTAAATTGCACTTCCGGTGAGTGGGCAATTTTTCTACACCTTCATGTCATGATGTTGGAATATACCCATTTGGATTGAAGTCATTTACACTCCACCACTGGAATATACCTTTTTGGACTGATATCACATTACCTTGGACTGTATATTATCCAGTTTATAGGACTTTTTTGTCATATTTTGTCATACTTATGACAGTGTGTTTTATTTGTATAGCGCTGCACACCCCATTTTTATGTCATACTCTTAGAAAGGCTTTTGTGGTTCCTTTTTGTGCATTAGCGGCTTTACTTGGTGCGCTCGCTAACTTATACATTTACACTCTATATCATTTTATTACATGTTGATCCTGCTATTAAGTCTGTTATTTTTTCTGATAGGGATGTTTACAACGGTCAAATTTTATTTACATTGTTTAGGCCAGCCATTATCAACCAGGGTGCCCAGGCACCCAGGGGTGCCTTGAGGTTTCTTCAGGGGTGCCTTGGCAAAATGTCTAAAAATCGCCCAAAACTTGTATACAAGCCAGCAGGTAGAACAATTCTGCCTTTTAGTTACACAAAGCCACAGGTTTTCATTGTGCGCCATTACGACCTTCTAGCTGACAGTGTTCTGACAACCAATGACATTGTAAGGGACCACCTGGCGGTACCACTAGCACTCCACTAAATAGGCGTTCCCAGAGCACGGAGTCTAAGTCCCAGGGTGCTTGTTCACCAGGGCCCCTAATGGTGGGGATGGACTTGGAGCTCCCCGAGACCAGGTCGTGACTACTGAGCAAACCCGTTAGTGGCATTCGCCGAGGGCTCCCGCGGGGAAGAGCCTGATATGAGGAGGTCAGAAGACCCCACTGGGAGGGATGGACGGATGGATGGCTGAGCAGGTGCGAGGTCAGACAAGCCGGGTCGGTAACAGGGAGGACGGTATGGTACAAGGCAGCGGGCAAAGAATAGTCGGGTCACACGCCAGGTCAGCAACAGCAGGTCAGATCCAATAGGGGGCATTCAAGAGAGAGGTCAGGCAAAGCAAGGGTCAGGGCAGGAGAAATACAGCAAGGTCAGAGCACAATCCGGGTCAGCAACTTACAATTCACAGGTTCACAGGATGCAGGATACAGGTAAACCAGAAGGACCTGAATGACAGCTCAGGGCCATTTAAATATCCCGCCCTGCGCTGCCATTGGTGCCCAGCGGGGGGGCCGCGGCTTCTACTGCGCATGCGTGAACTCGAACGCCGCGGCCGGCCCGGACCTAGTGCCCGAGTCCCTGCACAGGGCGGCGCACTGCACCTGCGCCAGGACCATCGCGGCGGGGATCGAGGAGATCCTGACATTGCCCCCCCCCCCCCCCCTTCGGCACGGGCAACTTCCGGATGCCCACCCGATCTCTCCACCACTGGGGTGATCGCGAAAAAACCTCCGACAAGTCTGGGTGCATGGACATTATGGGCTGGTTCCCAAGAAGTAGAAGTGGTATCCAGTCATCCTGAGCAAAAGATGTATAACAGTGCAGGTATTGCTCCAAAGTCTGGTTGGTTCTTTCGGTCTGTCCGTTGGACTGAGGGTGGAATGCAGAAGAGAGGGACAGTTGGATGTTCAGAGCTTTACACAGAGCCCTCCAAAATCTTGAGGTGAACTGAACCCCTCGGTCTGAGACAATGTCTTCAGGGACCCCGTGCAGTCTTACAATCCCTTGAATGAATACTCGCGCAGTTTCGGCTGCCGACGGAGTCTTCCTTAATGGTATGAAGTGGGCCATCTTAGATAAACGGTCCACGACCACAAGGATTGCTGTGTGGTCTAGTGAAGGTGGGAGCTCGACTATAAAATCCATCGAAATCTTCTGCCAAGGCCGTTCGGGAATCGGTAAAGGCCGCAGAAGACCCCAAGCCTTGCACCTTGATGGTTTGTTCCTCTGGCAGGTGATGCAAGAGTTAACGTAGTGTTTGCAATCTTTCGCCATGTCAGGCCACCAGAAGGAGCGTCGGAGGAGCTCTAGGGTCTTGGCCGAGCCAAAGTGCCCTGCCATTGGGGTGGTCATGGCAATGGCCCAAGACCAGGGTTCGGATTTCCTCTGGCACCATAATCCGATCTTCCTTCCATAGGAGTCCCCCCCTGTTCTGGAGGGGCACCCCGGCTGGGATGACTATGGCCGTGGATGCCTCCATTATCTTGGAACGAAGGTCCGTCTGAAGCGCCAAGAAGTTTCCCGAAGACAGGATAGTGTCGGGCGCTGGGACCTCCTTGGCGTCCTCGTACATGCGAGACAACGCATCTGGCTTCGTATTTTTTGATCCCGGCCTGTATGTAATGTGGAAATTGAATCTTGAGAAGAACAATGCCCATCTCGCCTGTCGTGGGCGTAAGCGTTTGGCGGTCCTCAGGTACTCCAGATTCTTGTGATCCGTAAATATCAAGATGGGGTGTGAGGCACCTTCCAGCAGGTACCTCCATTCCTCTAACGCTGTCTTAATAGCCAGAAGTTCACGATCGCCGATATCGTAGTTCCTTTCCGCCGGGGTGAGTTTCCGTGAAAAGAATGCCACAGGATGGAGCAATTCCCTGGTGCCCTTTCGCTGGGATAGGATGGAACCTACCGCATTCTCTGATGCATCTACCTCCAAGATGTAGGGTAAGGCGGCATCGGGGTGACCCAGGATGGGTGCCAAAGTGAATAGCTTCTTCAAAGCTTCAAAAGCTTCCTGCGCCTCCGGTGTCCACCTGAATCGAGTTCCAAGCTTGGTTAGCTGAGTAATGGGGGAGACCAGACCCGAGAAGTTCTTGATGAACTTGCGGTAAAAGTTTGCGAACCCGACAAACCGTTGGACGCCCTTCCTGTCTGTGGGTTCAGGCCAATCCAGTATTGCAGAGACTTTCTGAGGGTCCATCGCGACCCCCGCGGTGGAGATAATCAGACCCAGAAAAGTAATGCTAGACTGTTCAAAGCAACATTTGTCAGCCTTGGCGTATAAGCCGTGCTGCCGCAACCGCCCTAATACCCTTGCTACATGAACTCTGTGCTCCCCCAGAGAAGGTGAAAAAATCAAGATATCGTTTAAGTAGACAATAACAAAGACTTCCAGGAAGTCCCTAAAAATGTCGTTCACAAAGTGTTGGAAAGTGGCCGGTGCATTGCACAGGCCGAACGGCATGACCAGATATTCAAAGTGGCCAAAGCGGGTGCGGAATGCCGTTTTCCACTCGTCCCCCTCTCTCTTATGCGAACCAGGTTGTATGCTCCCCTTAAATCCAGTTTCGTGAACACCACTGCAGCCTTTAAACTGAAATAACTCTGGTACCAATGGCAGGGGGTAACGATTTTTGATTGTAACTCTATTCAATTCCCGGTAATCAATACACGGTCTCAAGGTCTTGTCTTTTTTTTCTACAAAGAAAATCCCTGCCCCTGCCGGAGAGGTAGAGGGGCGGATGAATCCCTTCTGAAGGCTGTCCTCAATGTATTCCCTCAGGGCCCACAATTCGAGCTCTGAAAGGGGGAAGATCCGCCCAAAAGGGATCTCTGAGCCAGGTAACAGGTCGATAGGACAGTCATACGGGCGGTGGGGGGGTAGAGTATCTGCTCCCCGTTTACTGAATACATCAAGGAATTCATGGTAGGCCGCAGGAATGACCTGCCTTAAGTCGGCATCCCCTTCCGAGCACACGAGGACCTGGGGAACCCCCGGGCCCGAAGTGCGGCGTGTTCCCGACAGTATTGGGAAGGGAACGAGACTACCCTGGTCTCCCAGTCAATCTGG